ACACCTATAGGAGTTGAAAATAAAATTTGCATAAAAATTTGAAAAATAAAAATACATTCATAAGAAAATTAAAAATTTAAGCAAATATCCTTAAGTGCTAAATGCAGGATTCCTTAAATTATTTAACTACTTGCGCGTTTACATGAAAGAAGTGAAAAGCTATGATTACAGCTTTTATGTTTTATCTGAAGAAATTAAATTTTTGCTATCTTTAACATAAAAACGCCCTCGCCTGCAACAGAAAACAGAATAAAGAATAAACCGTTTTCCGTAAATTGCTAACTTGTCCTCTGTGCATTCTACTAAAAGACGTTGGAACCTTAAGCCGGTGGCAATACTTGTAGGTACCCTTTTCACGGATGCTGTTGGCAGTAACAACATGTTTGTCGCTAAAATATTTCACGTTTTTTTTGTGTTTTTTTCAAATTTCTTACATTTTTGTCTCAAACTTAAGTTTTAATTTGTTTCCTTATTTTTTTTGTTAAGATAATTGTTTCGAAGACTGAAAATTCTAAACGATTTCATTAAATTTCCCTTTCATAAACCATTTTTTCACTTTAACTGAAATTACAATACGAGGAAAGAAGAGAAAAAATGTGAGCAATATTTAACAAAATTAAGTCATTGTAAAAATATTGACGACATCCAAGGAGACAACAATGATAGCAGCGTTGATAACAGAAACGAAACAAAAAAGGAAAATGTCGAGAAATATTCATATTATTATCCTAATTTAATAATTGCGATTCTTCCTGCTGCTACCTTTGTGTTGTTGCTTTGTTGCTTTTGTGCTTCTTGAAAGTGTCTAAGTCGGAGTTGCTGTCGCATTTTCAAGGTAAAATAATCTTTGGGGAGTGCTTGGGTCCCTCTACTTGGGGTCTCGCTAATAAGTTAAAATGCTTGAATGACTTCAACACTTTACATAATTTTAACGATGCGACAATTGCTGTGCGTTGTTACATTTGATATTGGATTTTAGAGAAGAAGGAAATAAGAAACGAAATATTATTTGCTTTTTTGCTAACAAACAAAAGTAGCCAGTTTCATTATTGACAGTAGCTCCTTAGAATAGCTGCTTTGTAAAACTAAGATCCTTTTGCTTTAGTTAACTTATTATTTAGGTTTTGACGTGAAATCGCCAAATGCCGGTACTACAGCCAGAAGTGTCCTATTGTACCATGCTTTAGTTAATTTACAACATCTGTTGGATATTTTTCTTTTCGACATAAGTTCAAAAAAAAAAATGCAAAGATTTCTACTTTTATAAAATAATGAAGAGTAAAAATTTCGGGTCTGGTTCCTACAATTTTTAAATAGATGTATAATTCGATTTTACGTCTAATACTCCACGTTGACTAGTAAGGCTGATGGATAGCAGGTAGGTAGGTTGATTGAAGGGGCGGCCTTGTTTCCAAAAAAAACCCAATAATGCTCAAATGATGGCGCATTGTAGTACCACAGGAATAGCATTGGTACGTACATAGATTTAAATCAGCATACAGTCAACGCCCAAAAAGGTGGCGACTCCCACATTAGATAAAGGAAAACTAACCTGACAGTTCTATAAATTTGGCCAGGTCCCTAACATTACAGGATGACAGCTCGGTGAGAAAAGGGGATCCGAAGATTTTTGATTTTCTTTTAGCTAAAGAAGGACACTGACACATGAGATGGAACATGGTTTCCTCCTTATCCTCAGAGCCACAACCTCGACAAAAATCATTCGACGCAGTCTTATAGCATGCCTTTCTATTACGCAGTGTCCCGTCAGCACAGATACCATAGTGCTGATCAGGTTCCGCCTTAGTTGAAGTAGCTGACTAGTTCGTGTGGTGGTTTGTGCTTAATAAGCAATGTAATATGAATAAGTGGATGTATATACCATAATTATGTTAGATATAAATGAAACGTACTTTGCTGCTATTCAATCATAACTCCACGTTTTGTTGCTCACTCAAAGTTCTTGAAGTGTAAAGTGGCAACAATAATCTTAAAAACTAAAGAGAGATAGTTCACAATATAACTTAAATGAGGCTTAGTTCACACACATGAATTGGAATATAAGCGTGGCGGTATTAAGTGGTCTTGGAATTATTTCTTGTATTTGATTATTCGTAAATAATTTTTTGAGACTGCAAGTGCCAGGAATCGAACTCGTGCCCTGCCAAATCGGAAGCTCAGAGTCAGCACTCCTTAAACAACTAACCCAAAGCCGTACTTGACTTTTACTATATAGTCGCACATTTTTCTGTAGTTTTGCTGATTCGCTGTGAAAATTTATTCACAAATAAAGTGTATTTGTGTTCTGTGTTAGAACGAAATCATAAACCGGCTGTAGTATAATTGAATTAGTTAATTATATTTTTATTTTTAATTGTTAAATTTCAATAATATTCTGTAAGATTTTTTATAGAATAATAAACTGTAGACTTTTATCAGATCTAATGAAGTGCTTTCATAACGTTCTCCTTTTTTTATCTGTTTAGAGAAGAAGGAAACCTTTTATTTTGTTCTGACTTAATATTCCTTCCAAAAAATGATAAAATGTATATATTTAATTAATGAAGAAGAGTAGTAAATACGTCAATATTCTTGTGTATAACTTTGTGTCCTTTGAAGTTGTCCTTGTTTGAATAAAAAGTTTTGTGCAACCATATGTCCTGAACGATTTGCTCGCTTAGCAGTTACGAATTCATTCGTAATAAATTCGTCTTGTAGGAAAGTTTGTTGCTTCAGGGTAAATTAAATATAAGAAGAAAAACGAAATTTTGTTTTAAATTTAATATTAAATACAGTCTAAAGTAGCTCAGATGTAAACAAACAAAAATTATGAAAAAAAATTTTTTTAAAAAAACAAAAAGGAAAGCAAATATTTTCTGCTTTTATTATTCAGCAAGGAAAACAAGCAAAGTGAAGTGTAATAATGACAGAAGCAATAAAATTATTTTTTTTTTAAAAAAAAAGTTAAAATATTTAAAAATATGTGCGCTTTACGTGAAAATGCGTTTTTCTCATTTTCACTTTCTTTATACTTTCTCCTCATAATTTCGGTTACTTTTTGTTTCGACTGGGCCAGCTCCGGCATGTTTGCTCTCAATGAAGCTGTCAGAGAATTCGTTATTTTTATTATTATTATTATTATTTGGTTAAAACAAAAAAGTTTAAATGCTCAGAAAGAAAAATTAAATTGAATAAAGCAAATTAACCCACCAAAAGATGAATTTAAAAAGAAGATACCATTCACAGATAAAATTCACAAAAAAAAAAAAAAATGAGTGCACGGAATTGTGTGCTTCCCCCGTTTGGAGCTATCTTCGCTCCTTTCGTACACCGTTTTGATGACCGTAATTGTTGGAAAATTGTGCGTTCACGTTGTAAAATATAATTTCTCGTGCTCTTACTTTGACTGCTGTCGGTGTTCTTGCTAAATATTTTGTTAGCCAAATAATTGCATAATGAAAGACGTTTATGTTCTTAATTATAATTCATAAATTTTTTGTTTGCATTTTTATGCGATTTTAAACAGTTTAATTGCATCTTTAATGGCTTTAAACGAATCGCTAACGCTGAAGCCATTTGAATTATTTCATACGCGTACTCGTATCTTTGCCAGTCTTTGCCAGTCTTTGCTAGTCTTTCCCAGCAAAAGTAAAAACACGTAGGAAGCCTCAAATATTTATTTGTGGAAATCTGACGATGTATGGAATGGTTAAATTTTATAAAACATATAACAGTATTACGTTCCTAGATTTAGATTATGTATATAAGAAAGAATATATAAATCATGCCACATTGGTATAATGCCCTTACACACAGAATAGTTTGAAATTTAACAATTAAAAATAAAAAATATAATTAGTTAATTCAATTATACTACAGCCGGTTTATGACTACGGCTTTGGGTCACAATTCTTTAAGGAGCGCTGACTCTGAGCTTCAAATTTGGCACGGCACGAGTTCAATTCCTGTTACTTGCAGTCTTAATAAAAATTATTTACGAATAATTAAATACAAGAATTATTTCCAAGACCACTGATGATGGGCATGACTTAGCTATATTTACCATGTAAATGTTAAGTCTTACCATTCGTCACTCCTTCCCTTGAATTCTGAAATTAGACTCCCAGTCTTGGACCTACACGGGCAGTTGCTTGGCAACTATTCTCTTCACATTTCCTGTAAGGTGATTTTAGTGGGTAACGTGAGGGTAACTATAAAAAAAAACAACTGATGATGGGTATTTGACAATACTCGTAACAGTATTGTCAATACTCGAAATATTACAAAATTTTGTTGTTACAATTTACTACTATTCGAAGCCTATCTATTGAAAAATCTATATTATAAAAATTATTTAAAAACTTATTTAGATTAACTTAGAAAAATTTAGAATAATCTTATTATGTACGAATTTAATACATTGAATATTGATATTTTGTCAGGTCATTAAAGCATGAATCTTTGTAAAAATCTTTGATTAGCAAATCAAGCCAGAGGAAGCAGATAACACACACTGTAGTTGCGTTGTTGTAGTTGCATTTGCGTTGATGTTGTTATGTGCGTTATATGTGCAGTTACGGTTGTTATCATACACCTTATTTTTCGTAAAGTTGTTTGTATTTTTATGCTTTTGGCTTGTTGCTTTTTTTAATGTATGACGGTGGTTTTTGTATATTTTTTTTCTTCGAAGTGATCGAATATATATTTGTTTGAGTATATTTATATCTTATTTTTAATTGATTGTGTGCTTTCTTGCGTATTTGGTCAAATTGGGAAAAGGATATGAAAAATTATCAAATTATTACAATTAAATAATTTCATATTAATATTAATTTGAAATAAAATTAATATTAATATTAAAGTTTTTTACTTGTTTTTTGAAATAATTTCAAAGTTTATTTATTAAATGTTTTGTGAAGATTTTTTATTCATTTTTTTTTTATTTATTGAAACATATAATGTATTTTTGTATATAATTTTTATTTATCGAAAGAATTTTTTTAATTTTGTTTATTTTTTTTCTTAATTTTTTACTTTTATTATTTAATTATAAGCATTCTATTTTGTCACCAATTCCTTTTGCTGTTATTGCAAAAGTGCTAAATTCAAAAAAACTCACACCAGAAGCATGAAATGATTCATATACATAAGGACACCTACGTTCCACAATATCGCAATGGGACTTGGAAGTGGAACGACACAGACAAAGTTTTTGAGTTTGTGCCAATATATGAGTTAGCGCAAGAGCAAGAAGAATATCTGTTATGCGAAGGTTTTAAGTATAAAAAAACACTGAATCAAGTCGATGAAGTGCTTTTTCGCAGTGAATTTGAACGCTCAGAAATATCACACGATGCCGATGTCATTTTGATACAGGATATCAAAAATTTAGTTCTGTTTCTATCGCCAGCAGAAATGATGCGTCGAGATTTTTTGTGTTTTCTGCATACCGAAGTAGTTGATCGCCTTCTTAATTCACTTATCATATACTTTGAGTATTTTCTTAAACTCGTCGAGATGATACTTATTCGACGGGATGAAACCACAGGTCCAACTCCAAAAATTCAGAGCAAAGAAAGTTTGGATATGAAATACATTTTCTCATCACATTTATTACAATATCGTTTGATACTAGCACGTGAATATGCTGAAATTGTTTTGGGGAATGGAGAATTGGATGCATTCTACTTTATAACGCCGCTCGTTAAAATACCGCGAACAAGATGGGATAGTATGTTTCACGAGCAATTTCTCTCATTTGCTACGCAAATAGTATGGATTGCTATGCATCGTCGTGCTTACGATGTGATTGTTATGGAAATGGAACGTTTGTTTCGTACGGAACACTTTATGTTACAACAAACTAATCCACTGTATTTCAATCCATCTGAGGCAAGTATGCTATATGGTATAAATTATAAACGCCGAAATTTTCGTGTACAAAACTCACCGCTAATACAGGAATTAATGTCGGTCTCGAAACACAATTTGCCTTTTCTACGCATTGGTGAACAAAAATATCGCGGTACAGATTTGCGTGTACATCAAGTGGAACTAGAATATATTGTACCACCAAGTCAACTTGCACTGATCGATGTAACACATGGCATACTAGGCCATCCAAAGAAGTTGTATAACACACTTTTAGCACTGAATCAGGATGCAGTACGTTCTGAAAACTTTTCAGAAACCAACGATCCTTATCGGTTATTTAGACAACCCTGTATAAAGATACCTCCACTTGACTCGGAAAAAATGCGTTATTTTGCCAAAAAGCTTGATTCTTACTATAAAGTTGTGGCACGCATTGAAATTGTTAGTGAAGAAACGCTTATCAAGTGGTGCAAACGTGAAGAGATTAGATCTAATTTTAATGTCGAACTCATGGTCATTAGTAGTTTTGACAAGAGTGCGAAAGATGTTGAAAGCAATTCTTATGGTCCCACCGCCGAAGAAATTATTGAAAAGTTCATTGCAAAGAAAACAAAACTGCGGAAAATTAAGGAACTTGAAGAAAAGAAAGACGCAGAAGTCATTACATTTCATGCGGACAGGTAATACTTTCATTTGGAAATATGTTTTAATAATGAAATCAAAAATTAATAAAACTGCCAACAATAGTCGAATTTGATTTTTTCATTTCAAGATTGCAAGTATAGAACCTGGCGGCTAGATAGAATAGAACAACTACTTACAGCGACAACGTTTCTTCATTTTATTAAAAATCATATGAATTTATTTGTTTCAAGAATTTTTAAATTAAAATCTTATATAGATATATGAGAATATCGTCTAATCCACCGAATGTAAGAATTAAGTATGTTCTCGTAGTAAGATTTGAATTTGGATCTCTGCATAATGCAATTTTTTATACAGTCCGAATATTCGCTTTTAAAACAGATATTCAGAAAATTACTATAAGTAACAATAGTCAATATATAGCAACATATATAAAATAGTGGTAAATTAATATATCAGGTTCAGGTTCTGTCTGAATGTCGAAATCCTGTTGATAGTATTGAGTGACATATAATTGTCTAATTTGGCAAGTTCCTCTGTAAAGTACGCCAGCCCAATTCTAGTACCTCAAAAATTGCAGCTCCCATTTTTCTGTGCATTTTTGTCCCTCTTTTTTAGTATCATTTAACTGTTTAAGATAATATTGTAATTAAATGGTGTTTATACCAACATGATGAATCGGTTGTATTGGAGTATGGAAAACAAATATTCATCGGATTAATATGGTCTTAGTGTTATAAAATTTTTGAAAACTTCAGATATTTCCAGATATTCACTAAAAGTACCAAACTATTAACTACTCCCGACAAATGGACAGTCAAACATCATCCGCATATGTGGAGACTTTGTAAATGTAAAGAAACTCTGCTTCATTATGACAATGCCATACATATAATATGATGTGATATATATAATATACTTGATTAACTATCTGTCAAATATAACAAGTATGTATTCACTCATATACCCTTACTTAAATAGTGTGGAATACCCTTATATAATTAATAATCTTAAAAAGTTAATTGATAAATGTAAAAAATGTACAGTTTCAATATATAAAAGAAAAAATAGCAATATATTTAATCTATATATTTCGATTGATAAATCTGGGATAACTTTTTTAATCGAGATTTACTTTAAGTGCAATTTTAATTTTCGATTTGTAACTCTCGAGTGAAGTAAGTGTGTGCTTCCCGAGGGGGAAAGTGTATAACACACAAGATTAATTTGTAACCCTTTAGTTATTTTGCCAGAGAAGCAAGGTTAGCCTCATATTAACAGCTGTTTTATATGACTTGGCAAATTAAATATGACTTAATTTTATATATATTATATATGAATAATATCAAAATTTACTAAGACTAAAAAAATTATAGATTTTTGATCAACAAAATTGAGCAGATCGAGGTTAAATCCAGATTAAACTCAGATTTACCAATCGAAAATGGTATTAGACAAATTTTCGCCAACTACTAAGACGCAAACGTGACTAAACGTGGCTTTCAGCCCTTAAAATAATTTTTTTTATCCGTCACAGAAATTTTTCTTAGTATATATAGAGAGAAAAACGCAAGAATGCTTTTAACGCAAGAAAATACACTTATTGTATTTCGTCCCATACAGACTTAATCTCTTCCTGTTTATATATATAAATTATTTATATTAATTTACACTAATTAGTTTTAAGTCCTTTTAGTCCCTTACTACCAGCGCATAGATTCAACCAAGCTTTATTTTTACAAAACCGTTTTGCTAAGCAGACAATAAAATTAAATAAAAAAATTTCTGGAAAAAAAAATCGTAAATGAGAATCAAAAGCATAAATATCTACAAAAGAATATAATTAAATTCTAAGTATTGCTGAACCTTGCCTTTAATGTTTCTTATTAGGTCCGTCTGCTTTATAACATTTTTTGCACTCTTTACTTAGACACAAAGCGTCAACGAAGTCAAATACAAAAATAAATTTAAAATTTTCACCTTTAAAAGGATTCGAGCGAAGGAAAATTTTATAAAAAAAAAACATAACGGTACAGATTGGAAAATAACAACGTTGCAACCGGACTCTGGTCCACATGCAGCGAATAGCGCTGCCAAGCCAAACTGAGTGCCATATTTTGTTGATATATATATTTTTTTTTGTTTTAATTTTCATATTTTTCTTATTTCCTATTTTCCTTTTGGCTGTTCTTATAAAATAAAATAAAGTCAAATGTAGTAAACTAAAATAAAATACAAAAAAAAATAAAACAAAACACAAAAAAATAAAATAGAATACAAATAAATAATATAAAATTAAGTAAAATTAAATAAAATAAAATAATATACAAAATAAAATAAATTTTAAACATATATATAAAAAATTAAAATTTATACAATATAATATAAATAAATATATTTAAATAATAATATAAGATAGATTATTATAATATTATTAAAATTATTAAATAAAGAAAAACAAATCTATTAAAATTTTAATATAATATAATAGTAGAATAATATAGTTGAATAAAATAAAATAAAATAAAATAAAATAAAATAAAATAAAATAAAATAAAATAAAATAAAATAAAATAAAAAAAAGTAAAATAAAATAAAATAAAATAAAATAAAATAAAATAAAATAAAATAAAATAAAATACAATAAAATAAAATAAAATAAAATAACATAAAATAAAATAATATAAAATAAAATAAAATAAAATAAAATAAAATAAAATAAAATAAAATAAAATAATATAAAATAAAATAAAATAAAATAAAATAATTAAAATAAAATAAAATAAAATAAAATAAAATAAAATAAAATAAAATAAAATAATATAATATAATATAATATAAAATAAAATAAAATAAAATAAAATAAAATAAAATAAAATAAAACAAAACAAAATAAAATAAAATAAAATAAAATAAATTAAAATAAAATAAAATAAAATAAAATAAAACAAAATAATATAAAATAAAATAAAAACAAATAAAAACTAATAAAATAAAATAAAAACAAAAGAAAATAAAATAAAATTAAACAAAATATGGTAATATAAAATAAAATAAAATTAAACAAAATAAAATCAAACAAAAAAAATTAAGCAAAATAAAATTAAACAAAATAAAATGAAAGTAAAGTCAAATAATAAAAAACAGAATAAAATAGAATTTATTTCCTTTTTAGTGGCTACACAGCGTGCTCATCGTCATCGTCATCGTCGTCGTCGTCATCATTCCTGCATTCCAGGCATTGTAGAAGCTTTTCTATTTCAAGTGGGCGAGATTCAAAGGAAACGGCAATGCGGCATGTGCGGCTAGAGCGGCTACAGCGGCCGGTTGATGCAGCTATGCTGGCAATCCTATTGCATTTCTTTTGTTGTTGTTTTTGCATTGTTGTTCGAGTTTAGTTGGTGTTTAAGTTGGAGAGAGCATTTTAACATTTTTTCACACTTTCAACTCCCCACCACCCGCTGTCAGCAATGTTAGCTTTTTATGGTTTAAAATTGCAAAAAGGTTTAAAACACAGAAAAAACATGTGTTGTTTATATAAAAATATATGAAGAACAATAAATAAGAGCAAAAATAAGTAACGACAGAGCAAAATACATGTAATAATATTTAAAGCGGTTAAGTGAGAATTCACAGCGTTTTCCATTGTGGTTGTACCTAAATTGGATAATACATTTGTTCCCACAATTTCATAGAAAAAGTTTGAAAAAATTTTACATAGTTTTGTAAAACTTTTGATTAGACACCTTAATTAAGATATTATCAAACTATCAAGTGAAATATTTTTTAATTATGCCTCTACGTACACAAATTAATGACCGACTGGACTATGGAAAAATTAAACAATGCATACAAAATACTGCAAGGACCGTATATAATAGCTTCACCAAAAATATTCAAAAAGAAATAGTTGTCTAAATTCTTATTTTAGTATATAGTTATCATTTTAAATACTTTCATTCTACAGATAATGCAAAAATGCAAAACTCAAAAATTAAAAATTAAATTTGACTTTTTTAATTTTATTTTTTATGTACACAAATAAATATCACTAAAATTTATAAAATTGCAGAATTGGTTTTGTAATTACAATACTTATTAAATAAAAATCAAATTAACTTTTAAACATTTCGTTTGTGAGTTCACAAAAACAAATCCCAAATTCAGCCTTGTTCAAAAAAAAAAACGCCCCCTTGCGACTTCTATTTGTTTTTCTAAAAAAAAATTACAAACAAAGACTTTTATTTTTGCATTAAAAAAAAGAAGTAAGTATTTAGTTTTATATCATATTAAGTTTTATATATTAAGTAACAAATTTTTTGGTTTTCAATTAAGCACAATAAATATTTTTATATATATAGCACATTCACACTGTCTCATTTACGCGGTGTTGCTAATGAGAATGATTTACCACACAAAAATCTTTCATAATGAGTTCATTTCATTATCAATAAATCAGCTGATTTAAGAAATTATTTTTTTAAATATAAAATTAAAATTCATATAACAAAAAGCATCAAAATAACATTCCCCCTTCGACAAGCGACTTTCAATTCAGTAAAAATAAAAAGTTTTATTATTTAATCAAAAAAAAAATAAGTTGAGTTTAAAAAAATCCTACTGAATCTAACTTTTAGAGTCCAATTATAGAGCTCAGCTATATATACTAGAACTTCAGCGGCGGAAAAAAGTTTTTATATCAATCGAGAATATAAGGACATAAATTTTAGGGATTCTTTAAAATATTAATTAATAGAAGTTTAAAAAGTTCACTCCAGGACACATATAGCATAATGTTCTGCTCTTAAAGTTCTTAGGAGGAAGCAAGAGAAACGATACATTATTTTTTTTGCTAAACTATTTTATCTCCAGACAAAATTAAAGAGATCCAATAAGAAACGTACTGTCATATTTCTTAGTGTGTCGAAACTGCAGCTTCAACAACCCAATATTGTATATATGGAATTACTATTGTTATACAAAGTTATGTCAGATTTATTAGTAATTGCGTGGCTCCACATTACACACGGTAGTTATATATTCATCAATGCTCTTTAAAAGTTCACATTTTTAGGTCAGTGCTG